ACAGGACGGGGGTGAGGGCAGGAGGGAATCTGTGTGTGCAAAGGAAAGAGTTGTGCGGTGTGACAGCAGCCATGGGAGAGCTAAAGAGCACGTCTAGCTCTGGGGAGTGTTTCTGAGGGTTGGGAAAGGAGAGGCTTTGAAACGTGGCCTGGTTAAAATCCGATAGTTTAAAGCGGGGGTGGGGAACCTTTTTTTGGGTCAGGGACCATTGAGCCACGGAAAAATCAATTGCGGGGGCTGCACAACATTGAGAAGCAAAGAAAGCACAAAACAAACGAACTCTCACTGAAGTGGCTCCTAACAGAAAAGGGGAAAGAGACTCCACATTCCCCTCACACCAGAGCCTAGTAGGGCCCAGGCTAGTACATTTCCCTGTGCTCCATTCCCATGGTGGGAGGAGGGCTGGGGCACCAGCACAGGCTCCCCAATGCTGAGTGTGGGAGCCCTGAGCCTCTGGGGCCACACCCAGGCAAGCCAGGGGCCACATCTGGCCTCCAGGCCTGAGGTTCCCCACCCTTGGTTTAAAAAGCAGCCAAACTTGCCTGCCTTGCTGTTACTGACCCTCCCTGAGATAATTAGACGAAGGGGAACTGACTCTTCTAATTTCCCTGCTTCCTATTGGGGTTGGGTTTACTCTGCAAGTCACCAGAGAAGGCTAGGGTTTGGCTGTGGATGCAGGAATGATTTGCAGTTAATTAAAACTCCTTTGAATCCTTAACCTTAGGAAGGAGAGTTGCTGGGTAGGGGAGTTGCTGGGTGGGAGAGGTAGGTTCTGAGACGGTCCAAAAGGTTTGAACACTGAGAAGCAGTGACTGTAGTTCTTACACATGCTGGGATATAATGTAAGTTTTAATGGACTCCTTGGTGTAAGATTATAATGTGACAATCACAATTTCAGCTTCGTATGTTTGTCCTGTAACAGGGAAGATGGAGGCTGGTGGAGAAGCTGGTTGCAGCAAAGCTACCAGACCGTCAAAGAGAAGGTAGGAAGATGGTGCTTATATGGAACAGGACAAAATGTTGCTTAAGGAAATCTTGCATCTTCCTATAATAAATTACAAAGGTTTATTGGATTTCTCACTCTTGTGGATTCTCCTATAACCAGAGCAGACCAGGCCCACTAAGTCTCTCTTTGGGTGTTTTCTGTTTTGCTGTGTAATCCTCTTCCCTATAGAAATTCTTACTGATTTTTAAATGTTTTTCTTAAAGTAATCTATTCTCACCACATGGGGCTGCCCCTTTCTCCCCATGGATTGTAGCCTGATATTTGAAGTACACTGGACATTAGCCATAATGTTGGTATTATCATCTGCAGTTCAGGCAATATGCCCTCTGGTGCCTTCTAAAAATGCACTTCCTAAGCAACTGTGCAGCACTGAGGTAGAGTGGCAGTATCGCAGTGCAGAACTTTATTCCTCATGAGGCAAACTATCTAACACTTATGAGTAGTATAAACTTAAATAAGCCGTGACATGGTAGTTGAGCCCCAGATAGCAGAGAGTCTGGCTGCTCTGCAAAGATAAGAATGATCTAGTGGCACTTACCTAAAGGGAGCCATTGGACCAGGGCCTTAGCCAAAATTTCCTTTCTGAACAGTGTTGTGAGAGGTGCTCTATACTAGTCCATTGCTGCTCTCCTGCCCAGAGCTGTCTGTGTTTGTTATGAGAGGCCTTGGGGTCCATTGGCATGTAAAATGTTGTTCTAATAATGGTGTAGTTCATCAAGTCTGTGTTAACATCCATGTTTGGGGAAATCTGTGTACTGGAAAGTCTTACCCTAGTCTTATCCAAACAGAAACCCTGTCCTCCTACATGAGCTGTGAAACATTACTTGAAAGCTTGAGCTAGATTGTAAGTGTAGATCTGCATTTTGAAAGGCCTCTTGTACTGGAGATGGAGGAGAGAAGAATGCCCAGTACAGACTGCCCCCCATAGCATTGTACAAGGCGTGAGGCTGAGAAGTTCAGCTACATGAAGGTCAAAACTTGGGATCGGCCCCTATCCCTCCTGCAGGTTTCACACTGGCTCCCTGGAAGTAGACTGGCAGCGGCTGCTAGCCCTCAGCAAAGCCTTCCCGGGAATGGGGCTGGCAACCATTGCTGGCCCCACTCCCGGGGGGGGGGAGGGGGCGGCTCTGCTGCAGAGCATTTTAGCAGTTACATTTTTAAACACATTTTTACATCCCTAGTCGAAACTAAGTAACTTGTGACTCATCCACGTAATTGCAACTTTCATTCAAAAGCTATTGGAAGGACAGGAAAGGAGCCAAGGAAGTGTGGCTTAAAAAAATCAGATTTCTTTGCTATGTTGAAAGTTATCCTGTAGATCTGGGCACTTGTCAGCTTTTGTTAAGGCCCTGTGGCAGGTACCACCCTGCTAAAGAGTCGAGAACTGTGATTATGGCATTGTTGGGAGAGTGTGCACTGTCGGGCCTACGACAACGTGCTTAGGAACCAGGTTTTAACCTAATTCTCTGTCTGGGTTAAAATGTGATTTCTCTTCTCTTCTCTTCCCCCCCACCCCCCCAAACAATGCTTTTTCTGTCTGCACTGGCAAGGGAAGTATGTGCTGTAATGTGGACTGGGGGCAATTGCGTTAATCAGCTTTGTTGTAAACGTGGCTATTTCTGTGGTGTTGATAGGGCTTCATCTGCAAGAGCCCTGTCATCTCCATGTACAGAGTAGTCCCTTCGGATAGAGACTTAGTTATAAAAATAAATTTATAAATAAAATAAATTAATGGAGATTGCCTGTCTCCTAGAACGGACCTTGAAAGGTCATCGAGTCCAGTCCCCTGCCTTCACAGCAGGACCAAGTACCATCCCTGACAAATATTTGCCCCAAATTCCTAAATGGCCTCCTCAAGGATTGAACTCACAACCCTGGGTTTAGCAGGCCAATGCTCAAACCACTGAGGTATCCCTCCCCCCATCATTGCCCCAGGGTTTGTGATGTCTGAGATTTTAAGGGTGAAGATTGACTTGTGTGAGAATCTGGGCTCAATTTACTTAATGTTCCTCTCTCTTGTAGTCCACGGAAGCACTGGAATTCATGAAGCGGGACTTGACCGAGTTTTCCCAGGTGGTGCAGCATGACACAGCATGCACTATTGCAGCCACGGCCAGCGTGGTCAAGGAGAAACTGGTTGTAAGTAAGAGCGGGCGAGCTGCAATTCTGCCTCTGGCTTTTATTAGCGAGAGCGGGGCTGGGTGTCCACCAGGGAATTCTGGAGGCAGGCCGACTAATCCTTTCAGGAAATGATGCCTTTGAGTATGAGTGCAAAGGCCTGAATTCACATCACTCTTGGACTTTGAATTTGATCTCCTGTCCCCAATGCAAGGTGTCTGTGATTACCCTAAGTGATCCCTTGCTGTTTCGGTCAGACCGTTGATGTCAGTGCTCCGTTCACAGTTGTCAGCATGAGGTGGGGCAGGTGCATGCCGTGGCTTCCAGAAGGGCCAGCTTCCTGCTTTCCATTTCTGACTCTCAGGATGGGGGGCTTTTTGGAGCCACAGGCCAGCTGTCCGCACAATGGTGGCAGGTGTTACAAGGGGAAGCCTTAGGCTGGGGAAAGGCTTAGCTGAGAGAGGGATTTTACGATTTGGGGTGGGAGGAAGGTGGAATATCCCTGTGGATTCACATTCCTTACTTGGAGATTGGGTGGAACTAATTTTTCTCCTGCCCTCTTTGGTCCCCCATCTATCTGTTGTTGTGGGGCTTGGAATCAACTTCCCCACCTGTCCCCGTGGCACTAGGTAAAGCCCAGTAGGTTCTGCCTAGGTGTCAGGATCAGCTGGGAGATAGGTTCCCCTTTCCTAGACCCCAAAGCAGATCGTCACCCTACACAACTGTTACTGTGATCACACAGCTCTCTATCCTCTCCCCAAACCAGCCACTGCTACCTGCTCCCCACTGCTCAGACTCGTTCTCTGCCTAGCTGTTGCCAACACCCCCTTATTGCAAGGCAGCCTGTACTGTGCAATCGCCCCACTACCACCCAGTAAGGAGAGAATTGTCTCTCTTTGAAGGGACACTCACAGCTGGAAAAGACCACGTGGGGTTCAGGCATCACTGTTTAGATTATTCCCTTGTCTTTCTCTTTGAGAAGACAGAAGGCTCCTCAGGCACAACTGAGAAGATGAAGAAAGGGCTTGCGGACTTCCTGGGTGTTATCTCGGACACGTTCGCGCCCTCGCCAGATATGACCATCGACTGTGATGTCATAACGCTGATGGCAACGCCCTCTGGTACCACAGAACCGTACGACAGCACCAAGGTATGTGCCGAGTGCCCCTCTTTGCCTTCAGGGAGGGAAATGCCTCAGCTCCCACCAGGGATGTGTGGCACTGACCTCTGTTCATCACTGGGCTCAGTCGCTGCCCTTCCCGTTCATGGCTGTTCCTTCCCGTGCGTGTGCTCTCTTGCAGGCTCGTCTCTACACCCTGCAGTCGGACCCAGCAACCTACTGCAACGAACCGGATGGTAAGACCAGGGCTGGGCTGAAAGGGGAGACATTGAGGCGTTGGCATGGGCAGTGTTTGGTGTGTCTGAGGGTTGGGTTCCCAGAAATTGAGTGCTCCTGTGTCAGACCACCACTCCAGGGGCTCTGTGGGCAGGGAGACCATGGCAGCTGAGTTACCCTCACAGCTGATGAGTTGGCTCTGCCCAGATATGGCTGAGGCTCCGTGCCATGTGGGAGCCTGCAGAGCTGTTGCCTGATGAACCTGTTCTGGGATTTCAGAGCTGTGAATCCGACACTTTGCTTTGGGAGTTGGCCAAGGAGTGAACACTGAGCCTCAGCCTGGAGAGACACGGGAAGGGCCTGGGCAGGACAGAGCAAATGGTGTTTCAATTGGAGTGGAGAGTGGGTGGACGTGCGTGCAACTTACCTACCCTTCCATACCCACGTGCCCAGACTGATGTGCACTTTTAAAGGGATTTGTCAAGGGCAAGTCTAGCTTCTCTCATTCTCCTGCTTCCTCGTTGTGACCCTCCCTTTTGTGGGCGGAGGCTGGCTGTGGATCCTAGCATTTTCTCTCCAGGAATGTGCATCTCAGGCTTCTAAGTGCGGTTCTTACTCCCTTCCTTAGGACTCAGGTTGTTGCCTCTGAGATGTCCCTTGCTGCCTTAGCCTGGCCTCTTCACTCCAACGGCACCTGATAGCACCAGATAGCAAGTTTCCCCTTAACTCCCTGCATTTCTGTTCCAAGGACTTCTCTTTACTTCCCTGTGCAGGCCCTGCTGTGCTCTTTGAAACCTGGCTCTCCCAGTTTAACCTAGAGGAGAAGAAGGGAGAGATCTCGGAGCTGTTAGTCACCAGCCCCTCCATCCGGGCTCTCTACACCAAGATGGTGAGGTGCTGCCGGGCTCGTGGACTCTCTCATGGCTGGGTGGGCTCAGACCTGCTTGAAGTCTCCAGCATGTGGGAGGCAGGGGAGATGGGAGTAGGAACCTGGATTCCTTGGCTTCAGGGCCTAGAATAGAAGGGAATGGCTTTAGCCAAGCAGGGTGGCCTGTGCCTCATTGGACTGCTTGTCTCTGTCTGCGGACTGCCAGTTATCCGCTGCTCTGGAGCTGCCTGGCCTCTGTGTCAGCATCTTCCGGCCTTTGTGACTTCTTGTGTAATGAGTCTCCCAACAGACGTTTGAGAGCAAGTCACGTGTATTCTGAAAACGCAGGTCACTTACGTCGAACACAGTCTATCCTCGAGGTGGTTGGAGACGGAGTAGTACAGGCGCACGGTGCCCAAGTCATGGAGAGGCTGAATGAGCAGGGAAATTAATATCATCTGGTGGGGAGAGCAGGCAATTGCGAATCTGGACGCTTGGTTTCTTTCTATCCTCTGTCCGCCTAGTCAAGCTGCGCTGATGGGTCAGCGAGCAGTTATTGATGTTGGTGGGTTGGCAGCCGTGGAGTGGCCCAGTGTGGTTCCCCAGTGATCTAAGAAGAGATTTTGAGCATTGTCTTCCTCAGGGAGATGGGATTAGGATACGCAGAGCAAGGACATGGGGTGGGAGCAGTGGCCTTGTATGGGAGACCTGGGTTTCCCTGCTCTCCCTCCCAGGTCTGGAGGGCTGGCCCATCGAGGTGGTGCCGATGGCCTGGTGTGGGTGGATGGGCTGCTCACTAGCCACCCCTCTATGCGGCTGCTCCATCAGCCCCCGGGCTCCAGTGGGAACCCCACGGAATTGTTTCCTGCCCGAAGGATAATGGGTTTGCAGCCTCAGGCCCTGCCAAGAAGGCAGAGCAACCCCAGGGGGAGTGGGGTCAGAGAATGCAGCATCTGCAGGCCTTTCTCACAAAATCCTTCCCTCTCTTCTTCCCTTCCAAATGGTCCCAGGTCCCAGTGGCTGTGTCCCATTCAGAATTCTGGCAGCGATACTTCTATAAAGTCCATCACCTGGAGCAGGTGGGTTCGAGGGGGTGGGAGGTCCCTCCTGCAAGGAGGCTACCGTGGCGAGGGGCTGGGCAAAGTGGCTATTTCTTGACATGCACCCTCTGATCAGAGAGAGTTGCTATCCCCTGAGCAGCAGCAGGCAACGGAGCTCCCTTCCCCAAGCCCCTGCCAGCAGTGACAGTGCTGTAGGAATTTGCAGGGGTCGGAGCCCTGCCCATGAGGGTTGGCATCTGAGAGGGGACGGTGTGGGAGCAGCTCCTGGCTGCAGCTGTCAATTCCCCACAGGAGGAGGTTCGGCGGGAAGCCCTGAAGCAGAGGGCAGACCAGAGCGTGCATCGGGAGGAGCCAGGCTGGGAAGAGGAAGAGGGTAAGTCGGATGGCTGGGCAGCGGGGAGAGAGCTCCTGAAGACCCATGGGTGGATTTGAAAGGCGGAAGGGTGCTGTGGAACAGTTCCTGCTAATTGTCATGCAGCCGGCTTCCCAATCCAGCTGCAAGACCCCTCCCCCCCGAGGCTGTGTCTGTGTTCGACTGTGGCCCGAAATAGCCCACAGCTGCTATCAGCTGCACCATTGAAAGGCCAGAGGGATCCCTAGTATGGGGGAGGCGAATGCTGCTGGCACCACTGTGCTGTGCGGACCTGCTGGGAGCAGGGCTGGAGGAAAGCCTGGTTAAAATGCTGGGTGGCTCCTGCCACAGGCGTTTAGTGCCTCCCAAATCTGCATGGTTTGATCCTTGCAGTTGCCCTGTGAGATGGGGCAGCGGCACCCCCACATTGCAGCTAGGGGGAGCCGAGGCACAGAGAGAGGAAAGGACTTGCCCAGGGAAGCTTTGGGATGGAGCTGGGCATGGAGGCCTGTCTCCAACCTGGGCCTGCTGCTCTGGAGTGCTCCTGCACAGGTAGGCTTTGCACACTGCCCTCATGCCCAGCATAATCTTGCAGCTCCCATTGGCCAGAAACCGGCCAATGGGGGCTGCCTGGGCTGTGCTTTGCAGTGCAGGCAGCGTGCGATGCCCTTTGCCCAGGGACTCACGGCACACAGAGCACGTGGCCCCTGTAGCTGGCTGCTTTGAACAGTGTGTGGGGGCGTGGAAGGCAGGGAGCCGGGCGGGGAGCCACCTAGGTAAGTGCCGCAGCCTACACCTGGCAGCCCGGCAGCTCTCCTCACACCTGCCTCCGCATAACCGAAACCCTTTGCAACACCCCTCCTCCAGGTCAGAATCCTCTCCTGCACCCATACCCATATCCCCTCATGGACCCTATTCCTCCTCCTCCACCCCAGGTCACAGCCCTGTCCTTCACCCAGACTCCCTCCCAGACCCCACGCTCCTTCCTGCACCCCAGTTTCCTACCTGAGCTCCTTTCTGCACCCAACCTCCACCCCAGACCCTTGTGCTCCCTCCATTACTACCATGGAAAAGTGCCACCTTTGACTACTTACCAAATTCTTGTGGTGGCCCTTCAAAAAGTAATCCCCACCCCTGTGCCAGGCTGTGGCTCTGATGCCCATGGTTGGGAAGGAAGGTTCGTTCCTCTTTCAGCCCACGTTCTCTATTGGTACGTGATAGAGGTGCTAAGATCCCTTCCCACTTCCCTCACAGATGAATTGTTGGCGATGTCGCCCCTGCCTGGCGTGAATCTGAAATCTCCAGAAGAGGGAAATCTAACGTCATCTGTCCCTGCATCAGCAGCTGCTCCCCTGACGCCGGAGGGAGCTCCCATCCCCAGCCTAAAGGAGCCAGCAGAGGAAAGCTGGTCTGGTCGAGCAGCAGATCCAGCCCAGGTGACCCCGTCTGAGAGCAGCGAGAGTGTCTCCCTTGTGACTCAGGTTGCGAACCCTGCCTCTGTGCCTGATGCACAGTTACAGACTGGAGCACAGCTGTCTGGGGCCGGGGACCTCTCCCAGAGGTTACAGGAAGCTACTTCTGAAGAGCCAGGCTCCCAGCCAAAGCCAGCAGCACGTGCACATCCTCCGACAGCCGCTCAGCCGGTGGTGTCTTCAGAGCAAGTGGGCTCTGCGGGGCTCAAGGAGCAGGCGGAGAGCAAGCCCAGGGGCCAGATAGAGACACTGAAAGAGGATGGGCTGGCAGATTTACGAGTCTTTGAGCTGAACTCAGACAGTGGAAAATCCACTCCCTCCAACAATGGGAAGAAAGGTGGGTATCTGCCCCGTACACGGAGTCATCACCAGGCACCTCCCCTCGGGAACGAAGCTCTCGGGAACAGTGCCTGATTTATAATGCACGTGCTTTATTCCTGTGTTCTGGGGTCCGCCTAAATAGGCCTTGAGCTGTGACTGGGGTGACAGGCTCTGAGCTGTAGAGCAGTGCGCTGAACTGGGGAGCTGTCTGCTGATCCTACGATGGGAGCCTGGATTGTTCGTGTGCTGGGTTTTGCCTAGGTGCCACCCATCTCCCCACGGATGGCTCCACAGGCAGATTCTGTAGCGGAGCGAGTTCTAGATCAGCCAAGTAAACAACTTCTGCTTCGGTCCTGTGCACAGCGGACCCAGGTCACGTTGCAAAGCACGCCAAGGGGCAGGCGGATTCTCTGACTTGGTACTGCTGCAGGGAGATGAGCGTGCTGGATCTGACGCCTCAGGGCGATGGGTGGTGGTGGGCTGGTTTGCCTCCTTCTCTTTTAGAACCAGTAATACGCAATTTTGCCACCTGGGGGCGTCGAGCTCTTGGCGGTCCGTGGTCAGGGCTGCCTGGGATGGCGGTGAAGCTGTGGTTTGTTCACCTTCATCCAAAAGCCTTACCTCTGCGCCTAGCTCTGGGAGGCCTCAGGACAGCCAGAGTGAAGGGCCTGGGGTGTCTCAGGCTAGTGGGAGTCCACCATCAAACGCTTCAGCAAGCCAGACACAGGTGTGGGGTACAAACACCACCCTGCCATGAGCTGCGTGGCCCTGGTCTGTGTTGACCTGGCCCTCAAGGTGTTGGTTTGCCCCAGAAATGCCTCTGGGGCTCCAGGCAGCAGGGCCTGAGAAGAAGGCTTGGTACGTTAGATGTGGGGTTGTACTGGGGAAGGGAATCCAGTCAGATGAAGAAGAGAGCTGAGTTTCCCAACAGGACATAGCAGGGTATCTTCTTCCTTTCCTCGCCATCCCTGAATGCCAAGACGGTGGCAGGTACTAGGTGGCGATGGGAAATTATTCCTTCCTAGGAGCCCCCACCAGTAACCTGGCCTCTGGTCTGCTGGGAGCATTCTGCTCAGCCCAGAGCATATGGGAGTGGGGTGCTAGCAGATTCCCGATAACCCCAAATGCCTGTGTAGCTCTTGTCCCCTTTTACCTGCTTTTTCTCTCTGACAAACTTGGCTCTAGTTTGGGAGGAGTGGAGCTGGGCAGAGCACCCCTTCACTCCTCTCCCTCCCCTCCCGCCCCAGCAAACTGAAGTGATTCCTGACGCAGTGGAAGTCTGAGTCCAGTTGAGTGCAAACCAACTCCCTATCCTCCTCCTCTTGGGGGTTGTGAGCTCAGGACCCATCACGGGAGAGCACAGCAGGGTTCCCCCTCCTGCTTCTCTGGCGTCTTGTCTGCCTCTTCGTTGGTGTCTCCCGGATGGGTCAGAAATTCACAAATGCAGACGCTCGCGAGCTCGTCCTCGGCAGATGCTTGCTTTGACCCTGGGCGCTGTCAGCCCCCTATGGGGGTTTGCAAAGACTTGGCCCTGCTTTTCCACCTCATGATGGTTGGCAGTTGGTCAAGCCTGGAGGAAGATGGCGTTGGTGTCTTCCTCAGCCTTGCTGATGCATGGCTAGGTTGAGTTAGATTCTGTGCTACTTTGGCCCAGCAGATGCAATTTGGCCCATGCCAAGGCTTCACTGCTCAGAACACCTGAGCCAGGAGACATTGTGGCTACGTCTACATGGGCAAGATTTTGCGCAAATACTTTTAACGCAAGAGTTTTTGCGTTAAAGTATTTGCACAAGAGAGCGTCTACACTGGCATGTGCCATTGCGCAAGAGTTTTGCTTTTGCGCAAAAGCATCTGTGCCAGTGTAGACGCTCTCGCGCAAGAAAGCTCCGATGGCCATTTTAGCCATTGGGCTTTCTTGTGCAGGAAATTCATGTTGCCTGTCTACACTGGCCTCTTGCGCAAGAACAGTTGCGCAAGAGGCTTATTCCTGAGCGGGAGCATCATAGCTCTTGTGCAAGAAGCCCTGATTTCACACATTAGAACGTCCGTGTTCTTGCGCAAGAACTCCCTGCCAGTGGAGACAGGCAGCATGTTTTTGAGCAAAATCATGCCAATGTAGACACAGCCTGTGAGTTTAGTGGAGTCTGGAGTCAGCTGCGTCCGGGGCCCTGCTCTGCCCTTACTAACATATTGCTGAGGAATAGTGGGGGTAGACAAGGGGACGGGCCTTTTCTCTAATCCCAAACCTCGTGCCCCCGAAGCTGGGGCAGTTAGCGGACAGAAGCCAAGTAAGACGATCCTGGGCTGATGAAATCTGTTTCGCTCTAAAAAGCCCCGGACCCTGGTGTAAAATATGCAGGAAACCTGATGCATCATCAGATCCCACCAAAGATTCCCATTTGTTCTTTGCCTTCGAGAGCCCTTAACCTTCTTGTCATGTGGTTTCAGGCTCCAGCACGGATATCAGTGAGGACTGGGAGAAAGACTTTGATTTGGATATGACAGAGGAAGAAGTGCAGCTGGCGCTCTCAAATGTGGAAGTGTCCGGAGAGGTAAGAGATATGGAGCTCTGGACCTGGCAGCACTAACTCGGCAAAGGTCCTTCCCAGTGTTGGGAGCTTCCTCCAGGAGTCTGCTGCCAACTCCCCCGTCTCAGAGCTGAGTGGAGAGTAATCCCAGCACGTAGGAACTAAGGGAAATCCCTGGGCATTAGAACAACCCCATCCTCGCTGCAGACAGCAGCACAAGCTGCTCTAGAGAGCCATGGATTTTGCTGCTCCCCTTGCCTCTCCTCACAAGGAGAAACGGGGGTAGGCAGCCAGCTAGAGTTGAATAACCAGAGCTGTTAGCTCTGCAGAGGTTGGGATCCTGGTCACAATATAGCAGGCTTGCGGGAGCTAGATGTGGACTTGGGCTCTTACAAAAGGCATGCAGGGACTTGCTACGGAGAGAGAAGGGATTAACCTTTTAAACGCTCCTAGGACGGCCACTGAGATAAGAACACTTGTTTCCCAGAACAGTAAAACTAGAGCAGTCAAGTGTGTTGTGTGTCAGCGAGGCTTCGCGCTAACTGGCTTGGCTTGTCTGACCACTAAGGACTAGTCTGCACTACTGCGCTCTGTGGGCACAGCTGCTGCATGTCTGGTGAAGATGTGCTATCCTGAAAGGCAAGTGCTCCCCCGTCAGCAAAATAGCTTCAGCCTCTTGCTGCGTAATATTAGTGGGAGAGCGACCCTGACTGCCTTAGCACTGTGTAGGCCACACTTGTGTGTCCCGGGAGGAGTGGTGGCTTTTCTGCACCCCTGAGCAAAGTTACTTTGACTTGTTACTTAGCGTAGACAAGCCCTAAGTGTCCAACGCTACCAAAAGCGCCCAGAGACAGGCGGCTGATGTGTTATCTGAACCAACTGACGGACGTCTCTCTCCTGTTTGCAGCTCGAAGACGAAGAGTGGGAGGACTGGGAATAAGGCGATTGCTTCCTCTGTGTGTCACAGGCTCCTTCCCACCATCCAATGTGAATTAAATCACAGATCGACTATTCCTTTCATGTGTAACTGTGCTGGGGTTTGCGATTCCAGGCTGGGGAGTTCCATCCTGCTAAATCCTAGGGCTAGCTCAAACTCATGATGCTGGAAGAGGTGATAACAGGTGTTACACTCATATGCACAGGGGTGCTGGGGAGGGGGGGGTGCATCTTCTCAGTAGGTCCAACAAGGTCAAAATTGACTGCCCAGATACAGGCTTAGGGTGGGAGGCAGGTCAGGCGGGGCCCTGGGCTCGAGCCAGGCATTAGAACATCTGGCAGGATTAGAACATCTGGCAGGATTAGCCTGCATCGGCAGGGTACCCGTCTGCTGTCTGCTTGTGTGTGACTAGAGCCTACAACGCAGCAGGTTAGATACAGTACGAATTGTGCCTGTTCACGCATTACTCCAGACTAGCTCTGAGCCCCCTGCCCCCAAACTGGGACTGACCAGAGGCTGGAGAAGCCGCCTTGGCAGCCTCTTCGTATTGCTACACTTACCACTGTAAGGAACGGAGGCGGGTTGGGGGCTTCGATCTAGAGTCGGGCTTCCCTAAAGGGAACTAACGTCGTCTCCTCAACTCTTCTTGAGCCGTAGCCTGGCCTGTGGTCTTAGAAGCTGCTACAGAAATCTCGGCACTTCCTTCTGCTTTCTTGGGATGCAGCTTTTCAGTGGCACTTCACCCTCCCCCGCTCTCTCTGCTGGGCGATGAGCATGCTGGTCGTCCTTAATTCCTCAGGCAACGTCCTGATTCTCGTAGTGTTCCCCTGAATAGGGTTTTCTGGGCAGGCAGGGGACCTGGGTCGTTCCTGGGGCAGAGCTGCCCCTGTCTGTGTGTACCAGCCACCCAGCGTGGTCACTTAAAAGACCCAGGATAGGTACAGTGGTCACCAAAACATCAGCCTTTGCCAGCAGCACGTACTACTCTTTGCTGTTCTATGGGAAGCAGAAGCATCATACACAACAGATTGTACCTGATGGCAAGGGCCGGCCACAGGAGCCGTTGACTTGGCTGTTTGAATTCTCCTCCTTAAATCCCCCCACCCTTCCCTTTCCCCTCCTTGGCAGGACCTGCCTGTCCCCTGTGCATTTCGAACATTGCTAGAGCCTCTCTGCTCCTGTTCAGCTAAGTCCTCCACGAGGCTCTGACTCCTTCCTCCCACCCCTGTTGACTTGGGTAGACCCTCCTTTCAGTCTGTCATCTCTGTCTGGGGGTTTCCCTTCTTTCTCTACCCTTCTGATCTGTCCCAAAATGCTGCTCCCCAGTGGATGTCACCAGTACAGTTATCCTAAAGGGACAGTGTCTACCCCACCGTCTCTGGCCTTCAAAGTATTGGTTTTAGCCATGGTTTCTTTAGGCCATTCTGCTTCTTAAGGGCCGGTTCACTGGGGCTGCGGGTTTCCCTCTGTTTTTAGACAGCACTAGCTTCCTGGGGATTATGGAGTGTCGATTTTCCCATGGGGAGATTCTCCAGTGGCGGCCGCAGCTCCTGTAGGTGCATTGAAGAGGGCTGTGTCACCCAGCTCCCTGTCTGAGAGCCTCTGTATGCCACACAGCCCACTGGGCCTGGGGACCAGCCTACAGCATGGCCCCAGCGTGGCATTGTAGAATGAATCCAAAAGGTCTCTGACCTGTGCTGCTGCCAACTGTTCTCCTCAGCTATGGTGCATCTCAGGGATGCAGGTAAAATGCAGCTGCATCCCCTCTATGCTGAGGTGTAGCCAAGTCTGGAGACAATCCTGTAGTAATAGTTCCTCCAATGTGTTTGGACTCTTGTGCGGCTGGGTCTTCTGCCGGGAGATTGGTGTCTGTCTGGAAGTATCGGAGACCCATGTTGTTTGCGCATGCCCTGTGGGGACCCTCTTGTGTATATACCGCCTCATTTAAAGGTATGGTTCCCTGCTGCTCAAGTCCCAAGGTTGGAGCTGGGAGAAAGCGTGGCGCTTGCCTTTCTCTTTGTAACTCTTTCATTAGTTAATTAACCTCTTGGTTATTTGTGCAATATTCTCTATTTTAAATTATACGGCATCTCCTGGGAGCATTTTATAGCTGGGGCAAAAGAGAGATTCTAACAGCTGTTAGTTTTGTAATGACAACTTTCTCCTGAATCTTTTACAGACTTGCAGTTAACAGAAATTAAAGGAATTCTACAGAATCAGCTGCCTGCATTGAGTTGTCTTTATTTCCACCACCAACAGGGCCACATGTGGCCATACTCGCAGAATGGGTCTGTGTGTACTTGGCTGGCAGTCTAGCTTGGGGGTGAGATGGACAGTCTATTCGGACCAATTCTCCAATTTAAGATTGTTTTTAATTCTAAGTAGATGACCTACACTTCCCTTTCTCTTGCTCCTCGTGTATTTAAAGAACTTTTCTCATGGCCTTTTATGTTACTTGCTGGGTGTAACTCATTTTATGCTTTAGTCGTTCTGAATTTGTCCTTACGTGCTTGTGCTATTATTTTATACTCAGCAATTTGTCCATGTTGTGAATTTGTTTGGATTCTTTTTTGATATTCAGATCGTTAAAGAGCCATATTGGCCTCTTACCTTTCTTCCTATCTTTCCTTCGCATTGAGAGAGGTTGCAGTTGTGCCTTTGATAGTGTTTCCTTGAGAAACTTACCAGCTCTCCTGAACTCCTTTTTCCTTTAGATTTTTCTTCCTATGGGATCTTACCTACCAATTTTCTGCGTTTGTTCAAGTCTGCTCTTTTGGGGTGTGTCTAGACTACAGGGTTTTGTCGACAAAACTGGACTTTTGTCAACAAAACTATACCTGCGTCTACACTGTCACTGAGTTCTGTTGACGTAACATCGACAGAACTCTGCAGTTTTGTCGATGGCTGTAAATGTCATTCTGCGAGGAATAACGCCTTTTGTCGACAGAAGGAGTTATTGCATCTACATTGTCCTTTGCGTCTACACTGTCATGTCGAAAAAGTGGCTTGCTTTGTCGACAGAACTGGATGTTGTCTAGACGCTCTTTGTTGACAGAAGCTTTGTTGACAGTATCTGTCGACAAAACCTCTGTCGACAAAAGCCTGTAGTCTAGACGTACCCTTGAAGTCCACGATCCTTATTTTGCTGCTGTTGCTCTTTCCTGCCACAAAATCATTACATCTATCGTTTCGTGGTCACTTTCACTCACATTGCCTTCCACTTGCAAATTTGCTACTAAGTCCTGCCTGTCAGTCAGATTCAAGTCTAAACTTCCTTTGCTTTTTGAGTGGGTTGTCCTCCTAACACACCCAAGAACTTACTGGAAATGTTTTGGTTTGCCATGTTACTTTTCCAGCATGTGCCTGGGGAGTTACTTTCCTGTTACTACCAGATCTTCTGTTTGGATATTTCTGAGTTGTTCTAGAGAGGACTTCTCCACACCCCTCCTCCTGATTTGGTGGTCTGTAATAGACGTCCTACCTGCCATCACTCTTTTTGTTTACCCCTTTTATCTTTACCTAGAGGCTCTAGACTGGTCTGCCTCTCCCCTCCTGGACCCCAAAGCAAGCATTGGTATGCTTGATATGGGATGCAGCACTGCCTTTTCCTGCTTCTTCTTTCTGAACAAGTTGTACCCCTCTATGCCAACATTCCAACCATGCAGCTTACCCTGGCGAGTCCCTGGGATGCCAGTTAAGTGATAATTTAGCTTCCAGTTCCTTCTGTTGATTCCCCACACTTCGTGCATTTGCATATAGATGTGGAGCAGATTTTTCCCCACTGATTTCCCTATTGTTGTTCCCAGGCCCCTATTGTAATTTTCCACATCTTCCCCGCCATCCCTTGTCAGCATGGAGGAGCCTCTGCATATTCCCTCCTCTCTCTTAGGGTGTTCTCTGGAGGTGCCATCATTAGAGATGTCTTGGGAAGGTGGCCAGACACTATCCCGGCTTTCCCCACTGCAGGAAGATGCCCAGGCCAGGGAGTAACCGGTCCATCAATCCCACAATTTTTGGGCTGGGGTTTAGCTACAAAGGAAACTGCACAAACACTTGGGTTTCTTCAGGTCATCTGGTTTGTTTGAGTAAAATCCCCGATGAAGGTGTGAAATGGCAGGGCCCCTCCACCCCCCGCGAGGTACTTGGCAGGACGGCGGGAGGGATAAGGACAGACTGGAAGCCAAACGTAACATTAAAATATATGTAAGCATTTTGAAAGCAATCTGTCCCCTTTATTGGGGGAGAGTGTGACATGGTCTTTATCAGGAGTTTGCCAGCCATGAGTGCCAACCAACTTCTTCAATGGAAGGTCGCAGAATCATGTCTGGTTCCAAGAGGCTTTTCAGGAGATCCTGGCATTCGTCGGAGATCTCCAGGTGCCCAAACGTAACATTAAAATATATGTAAGCATTTTGAAAGCAATCTGTCCCCTTTATTGGGGGAGAGTGTGACATGGTCTTTATCAGGAGTTTGCCAGCCATGAGTGCCAACCAACTTCTTCAATGGAAGGTCGCAGAATCATGTCTGGTTCCAAGAGGCTTTTCAGGAGATCCTGGCATTCGTCGGAGATCTCCAGGTGCCCAGGAATAGAGACCCCTTTCTGCTGGTGGCACAGCATCTTGGGGATGTCTGTGTCGTCAAAGGGGAGGCTAGCACACAGCATCACATATAGGATAACGCCCATGCTCCAGATGTCCCCTTTCCGGCTGTCATGGGGCACGCCCTGGAGCACCTCGGGCGCAGCGTAGGCCGTGCTGCCACAGAACGTCTGGCTCAGCTCCTTGCGATTCTTGGGGAGCAGCTTAGCAAATCCAAAGTCCGTGAGCTTCAAGTTGAAGCCTTGCAGCAAGGCGTTCTCACACTTCAGGTCCCGGTGCGCCACGCCACAACTGTGGCAGTAGCGGATTGGCGGCTCTCGGGCAAAGGGCCTCCGCGCAGAACGCAGTCAAAGACATCCCCGTCTTCCGCGAGCTCCATCACCAAGTAGATCTTCCCGTCAGCTGACTCCAGCATCTCGTACACCCGGATGATGTTCTTGTGATCCAAGCGCCTGACGATCTGGAGCTCTCGAGGCAGGAATCTCTGGATAAATTCTGAGGAGAGAGAAGACGGGTTCATTCGAGGCACAGGAAATTTCTAGCTACCAAGAGAGTGTATCCTCTTCCATCTTTCAGCGATGCCGTATCGCTGCAGTGACTGAGGCTGTTGGAGGCTGCTTTGTAAAGAGGGGCAGGAGCCCTGTTTATCCCAAACTGGGGGCTGAAAGGAGTTTTCAGATTCAAAACTCTGGCAACTTGGCTGGTTGTAAAGTGATCACTGGGTCTGTTCTGTCACTTATTTACTTTCAGTTGGCTTTATGGATTTTTAGGGCCAGAAGGCATCATTCTGATCCCTTCGACCAACCTCCTGCATGCCAATTTCACCCCCGTGATTTCCCCCATCCAGCCTCGTCTGTTGTAGCTGATTTCGAGCAGACCTTTGGAATGATCCATGAACAACAAACCTGTGGAACTTAACGCCCCCTTAGTGTCTCTGCTGTCCACGGGGAAATGGTTTGATGGTTTTACTCTGCTCTGCAACAAGATGTAGTCACTAGAATCGCTTATCTGATGGTGAAGCAAAATGCAGGACAATGTAGCACTTTAAAGACTAACAAGATGGTTTATTAGATGATGAGCTTTCGTGGGCCAGACCCACTTCCTCAGATCAAATAGTGGAAGAAAGTAGTCACAACCATATATACCAAAGGATACAATTTAAAAAAATGAACAAATATGAAAAGGACAAATCACATTGCAGAACAGAAGGAGGATGCGGGGGGGTGGGAAGGGGGAGGAAGGAAGGTAAGTGTCTGTGAATTGATGATATTAGAGGTAGGGAGAGTGGGATGTTTGTGAGTTAATGGTATTACAGGTGATTGATGGTGGTTTTTGTCTAGGGGACACCTCTAGCCAAGTAAACACCATTATGTGCTATAGGAGGCAGTTACCCCAACTTATGAGCCTGGTGAACTGGTTACAGGAGGGTCTGGACCAAATTCTTGTGCACATGCTCTACAAGGAACACTGAGCCATCAAAGTCAATCTGCCCCCCCCCCCTTTGCACCCATTAAGCTACAGCATCACCCACAAGTTGGTGGGAAATTGAAGCGTGGGACACCTGTGTAATTCTGTGGACTTCAAGAGAATTACAAAGGCAAGGAGGAAAGTCCCCTGCCTTGGAAGAGTTCTGGAGAGTCCTTTTTCCCCAGGAAACCACCTCCTATTCAACCTATTTTAGTTGAATACATTCAGAAGGGAAACCTGTAATATGCTTTACTAGGATCATGAATTAGAAATGAGAAATTTGTGGCAAGTTGCCCTTCCTCCACTGACGAGAAGGTGGAAGACCATGGTACTTTTCAGGTAAGTTTTCCCCTTCAAGGGGTTTTTATGCATAAGCAGAAAAGTAGGTCCAAAGCAAAGCAGTGGAGATATTTGATACTGTGTGTGCTGATCTCGGGCAAGCTACAAGACGACTAGTTCAAACAGGAATTATTTTGGGGAAGCTCTCTGGTCTGTGTTGTACAGAAGGTCACGGATTCGAAGGCCACAAGGGACCATTGTGAATCTCACAGGCCTGAGAACGGCCTCAAAATAATTCCTAGAGCAGATCTTTCAGAAAACATCCAATCTTGATTTTTAAATATTGTCAGTGATGGAGAATCTACTGCGTAAATTGTGTGAATAGCTAAGGCATAAATGTTTGAGAATAATTATTTCCACTCTACATTTGTCTTGATCCAACAGCCAGAAGTTGAAGCAAGTTGTACTTTTCTCTGATAGACTGAAGAACCTGTTATTATTAAATATTTATTCCTTACGTTAGCATTCTTAGATTGTGATCAAGTCACGCCTTAAACTTCTCTCTGTTAAACTAACTAGATTTGAGCATCTGGCAGCTGGTCACTATCAGGTGGGTTTTTTTAATTTTGTAATCGTTCTTGTGTCTGTTCGTTGAACCTTCTCAAATGTATCCGTGTCCTTCTGCAATTGTGGGCCCCGGGAACAGCAATTACACCAATGCCAAATACAAAGGTAAATGAAGTCTCCCCTCACCCCCCGTTGATGTATCCGAGGATCACATTAGCTCTTCTGGTCAGTGTCATGCTGTGGGGAGCTCATGTTCAGCGGATTATTCCCCATGACTCAAAAGGTCAGACTGGATGATTGTAGGGGTCCCTTCTGGCCTTCGAATCTATGAATATTCCCCGACCCCTAACCCAGAACCCTTTCCCCGAGCTGCCTCTTACCTTCCGGGCCCCCCATCTTATCAATAATTTTAACTGCCACTTTCTGCTGGTGCTTTTTTGAGAAGGCCTCTTTCACCTTGGAGTACGTCCCCTCCCCAATGGTCTTGCCCAGCTGGTAGCCATTGGAGAATAAAAATTCCTCCATCTCCTCTCTGAATTTTGGACTGGTCATTCTCTCAGGTCATCATGTAGATCCTGGGAGATGACATCTCTGTGCTCTGCTTCTTTCCCGGACCAGGGCCTGCAGCGGTTGCAGCCCTGGGTGCTAGATCATTTTCCTGCCTAGACAAAGTCCCGTGATGATGGGGGCAGCTGGGGCAGGACATTTTAAAACTTTCAGCCCCTATTATGATGCAGCCTTGTGTTGCATGGGTCAGAGGGGTTGGATTTGCACCAATCGGGGGTCGAGCACCCCAAATGGGCAGTTACTTAACCTGCCCACAACTCTGCAGTGAGTCACTCCCGGCGCAGTGATGGGCTAAATCTCCAGAGACCAATTGTGGGGATCGTGGGTAAGGGGCTTCTATAGCATAGCATTAGACAGGCTTTGGCACAAGGAACAGACCCCAAATATTCCCCAGCCAGTGGCTGCATTGTGATTAAATGTGCAGATCTGACCAAGTTTTCAAAGCTGGATCCAAGCAGATTTGGGGGGGGGGGGGAGGAGGGGTCCAGACTAGACCCCAAATGAATACAGGGCTAGGATGTGTATTGCGTAGTGCTTAACAATCCTACCTAGCTCTCTCCTAGCACTCTTCAGCCCTAGATCTCGAAGCACTTTACAAAGGTGGTCAGTAAAATCTCTCTCTCTCTATAAAAAGTTTTTCCTGCTGTGACAGAACAATGTCAGTGGGGCGGGGGATGGTTGGCAAGCAGGGCACAGCCCCCTCGTTAACCTAATTTTACAGAAGAGGGAACTGAGACCGAGGGAAGCGACTTGTCTGAGGTCACCCGGCAAACTAGGAGCAGAGCCAAGAATGTAACGTGCATCTTTGGAGACCCAGGCCGGTGCTCTGGGCCGTTAGCACTGTTCCCTTTACGTAGGCCCCTTTGTCCTGGGCGTTGCACAGACCCAGACCAAGCGACCGTGCCTGTGCCGAAGAGCTCGCCAGCGGAGTTTGAGCGGGTGGCGCTGGGGGATCAAAGCAATCAGCAGCGCGGCTTTATTCATTTCCTTTCAGTTTACAGGACTGGGTAAGAGTCCAGGGTGAGGGGCTACCCCAGATCACCCGGTCAATCCCACAGGGTCTTCCCCATGGCAGTCCCTTCCAGGAGCTCCAATACAGCGCTGGTCTGGGCACGGTCAAGGAAGCGGGCCCCCCAGGCATGAGCCGGGAGCCTTTTGGGAGAAAGCTGGGAGTGGCAGAGGCAGCTCCTTGGCTCGCTTCACAGCCAGGTGGGCTTTGGCCCGAGACGCCCTGGGTGAGAACTAGGCCTGCTGCCCCTCACGCTGACCAGCGCAGTCCCATGGTGTCCTGGCGTTCCCCCGTCTGTCTGAGATTGTAAGCGTGGGGAGGCAGAGCCTCGCTCTGTGTCCTCTATTCGTACAGGGCCTTGCACAGGGCTGGGCGGGGCCACCCCATCCTAAATAACCAATCCGAAGTGAGGCCTGGGCCTTGCGCCCTGGAGAAGGGAGAGCGCCTCCCCTGCCACTCCCGGGTGGCATTGTGACGTCAGAGCAGCCCTCCCGTGTCACAATGCAGCAGCCTCCGTGCCTCCCGCTGGCCCCCACCCCGTCTTGCCCTTTGCACTAGGCACTGCAGGCCGCCAGGTGTACTCCTGGGAACCCTCCTGAGCCTTCACGAGGTGAGCCTGGGTCAGGGAAGAGAGCAGGAGACGGGCGTGGGGATGGGCTGGCCGTGCCCCGTCACGTAGGCCCTGACCTTTCCCCTTCTTTCACCCAGACAGGTCTGGGGCTAGGACATGAGCTCCCAGGAGACCCCACAAGCTCGGAGATTTCCCATAGAAGCAGGAGATTCTCCCAGCCTGGCAGCTGCTCCAGAAACCCAGGAGCCAGTGACCACTGAGCACACTGCGGCAAGGTAAGGAGCTCCCTCGGCTCGACACAGCAAAGGACTCCACTGGTGGCCAGAGCTTTCCGATGGGGAGAGGCGCTTACTTCCTGTCCCCCGCGAGCAGTCACCTGGCGCCCTGAAGCATGAGCATCGACGCGCTTTCTCGGCCTGCCTTTTAGGCGGTAAGCGCGGCTGCTGTGCTGAGCTGTTGCTGTGAACGGCCCTGCTTCGGGATGGGCTGGCCCACCTGCTTCCACGTCCTAGAGCAGGGAATGAATCCCCCCAGGGAAGGGATGTTTTCCAGCCCTTAGAAATAGCTGCGTTGCCCTTTTAATCTTGCCAAGTGCCCTTTTGTGCCTGCTTGCAGGGCGGTGGGACTAGGAGCTGTGGCCCCCACCCTCTCCCTTTCGCTAATCTCAGCATCTTCTGGAGGTTTTCCCTGCGGCCGGTTCTCCAGGCTGTTCCATCTGGAACGTGCTGGGCTGCAAAGAGCCAGGGATTAGCCAAGCGGACTGAGGCCTTGCAGGGCTGCATTCCGGAGCAGTCGAAGCCACCCCAGGTCTGTCTCGGCGGCTGGGCTCTACCACTTGGGGGGGGGGGGGTGAAATCAGCTGCTGCAGTCGTCCTCCCCCAGTTCTCTGTCCTAGCAAGTTCCCTGCTCTGTGCCAAAGCAAAAGGAAGCTGCTTCCTCCTCACCATCTCCCTGCGGGGTTAGCATGGCTCAGGCAGCTAGCTCAGCTGTCCCGGACATCCCCAGCAGGCAGGGCAGCTGCATGGCCTGGCTTGGAACTCGGCGCCTGGCGGGCAGAAGAGTTTGTTGCCATCTGATTGGGCCCCAGGGCTGAGCTGGGGCAGGGCCGGATTAAGAAAGGGGCTTTAGGGGCAGCTCAGAGACCCATGCTGGGGGGACATGGGCTGCAGCCACCAGGGTCCCTGTGTTCCAGGTGAGGTGGGGGGAGGAGGCTTGGGGTGCTGCATTGTTCCTCCTCCAACACCCAGCGGGAAGCAGGTTGCTGCGAGCCCCAGGAATCTGTCCCCGCACTGCCCTGGCCAAGAGATTCCTCCCCCACTGCTCCCTATGGCCGGAAATTGCAGCCAATGGGAGCAGCAAGCGGGGGGAGGAGGGGGCTGCAGGCCAGGGCAGGGCACACGGAGGGCGCT